TTTCTGATGATGGGAAACCTATCAACTTCGTTGAAAGTGAGTTCTTATAAACTATAATGAAGTAAAAATTACAGTGGAAAAGCTAGAGGTTTCGCGATATGTAAGACTATGAATGATTATGCAAAACATTCGATCATTAGTGTAAAGTGCAAGAAATCATATTTCAATAGATTAGGATGCTGTTAACGCACGATATCTTTTTGCTGATTTATTTAAGACCGATGAAGGGATTGCAGAATTATGTGTTTCTGATGAAATTAATGTAGAGAAATTATGATTCTTTGTTATTATAATACGCTTCAACTGGCGAAGTTGAGACTAGGTTTTCAGCAGTAGAGTCTATCAGGAAATTTATACCTTTCTTACAAGAACATTTCATTGGATAGGCACGTTATCTGAAGAATTCTATGATTTACAGGGTCATGCGGTGACGTTGTTCGAAGTGGGAAAGCTGGCTGATGAACAGATGCGTGACTTCTTGGAACAACTAGAATGCGTGAGTATAACGGAACCTGTTTTGGTTGTGTTTGGTGGCTTAAACTATATCCTTGTGCCGTTTCTCTTTCCTTATGGTTCATCATACAGCTCCGAAGCGTTTCTGCGTTTCATTTCTTTACATGATTTGTTCAGGTAAACCGTTTTGCTGAAGGAGAAGCGCAGCGGTATTCGGAACATGCGATGGCTCTTTTAGATATTCTGCGAAACCTTCGAAAAGGACGAGAAGTTGATATGTTAAGAGGAGAAAGCTTGCTCAGTCTCGATCCGCAGAGCCGCATTCGAGTGCTAGCGAAATCATATGGGTTCGTGATTCACGAAGATTCTATTCTGACTTTTTACCTTTTAATCAAGATAACTTACTCAGGTTTTAAGACTCTGTAATTAGTGTCGCATTTTTCTACAGGGAGCTGGCATCAACAATTGAAAATTTTGAGACACAAACAGGGCAGAGATCTTCACCTGTCTCATTGCTGGCTTCATATTAAGCGTTCTTGAATCGTCTTCTCGACTACCATGACAGAAAAGCTATTGACAATGAGTAATGAGAGAAGGGTGCTCGAGTCTCTAAATACAGAGCCTTACAAAACCGGGACTCTTGAGCGATTCCTTAAAGTAAAGATGAAGGAAGAAAATTTCATCATGGTCGGAAATATATAAGCCTTAGTGAATTATTTTGTGACATAAATCCTATTAATTCTTTCTAGTTATCAAATTCCAAGGTTTGAAATACATGGAACAATTTTTTTCCTTTGTTCACTATTGATTTATGGGACTCTTATGACCAGTTATTCGAATCCCCTTGTAATCAACCTCTTACTCTACTCTCATAGCTGGCTTCAGTGACAGGGTCATATCACGAGTAGCTTTGTTGAATACGCACTGGAAATCCGTGTCTTTTTTGGTGTCGTCCATTTACTTTGTTTCTTACTGTTGGGGTTATGATTATTCAGAATCGTCGTGTCCATGGCGCCACTTTCGTGCGATGCATGTACAGTACCTGCCTCTTCCTTGCCATTTATTGGGCCTCCCATTCCGGAGGTGAGCATAAAGATTACCTAAATGGTTTTTATTCACATTGTAAATGTTTCTGATTTATAAGTAATCATGTTTTTTGTTTACTTACCTTTACATTTGGCTGACTATGTGGTTTGTTGATAATAAGAAAGGAAAATCGCCCTTTAAGGATGTATACTGTCATGAGATATCCCTTTTGACAAGTTCATTCGTCGTGTTCTAGGCTTGTTCGCCCTGGCTACGGCTGGCCATATATAAGGCGACTGGCAGCGGCCCGGCCTCTGCCTATATTCCAAAAGGTACGAGGCTGTCAAGACTGCCTGCAAACATATCCCATGCACCTCGTCTACTTGTTATATCGTCGAATCATGAACCTCAACACATGTCCACATATAATGCACTCGTTGCACTCAATGATGTCTTGCTTACGACTCCTCTGTTCGTTCAGGTAGTTTGGTGATTTTGGTTTGTGTCTTTTCTAGTGCAGTGATTTTGCCTAACCTTATGCCACTTACCGGCTTACTGGTTAGAGCTGTGATCCTCGTTTAATCCAACTACCCCTTTTTTAAATGTTATCGTCAGTTAAGCGTTTGTAGCGTGTGAATGTCGTGAAATGTGGAATTGATCACGAAACGAGCGCTTTGTGGGTACCCTAATAATGGGTCGAGGATATTACTTCCTTTTGTTTTTTGTTGAAATCTTCCCTGATCGATCCAACGACTATCTTCCTACCACTCTAGAGCAAAATGTAAGCTGATTCATGCACTTCATAGCATTTGCTAGAGGTCGACCCATTTGTCCGATAGCTGAGCCCCGCTTGTCACCTTTATAGCCCACGTAGTGATAATATAATAGTTGAATTCTTGAAGTGATCTGACAGCAGTTAGGAGTGGTGCTCTATTTCATTATTCCCCACGAGGTGGTACAACACCTGTCTCTCAACTGTACTGCACTATACAGTATACGTTGCTGAAGACGCCAAAAAACCTCGTCACTGTCTATAACCAGTCCCATTGGCAATAATTTTTGTAGTTATAGAGATCAGATTTGGCCAAATGGTAACTCCTTCAGTACTCCTTCTTGTTTCAGGAATACCCTCATTATTCTGAAGAAGATGAACTCGTTTACGTGCCTTTCCCCTTCGATGAAAGCGAAAACGAAGAAGAGGGTGGGTATTTGTCTTGGAGGATTCGATTTCATGTTATTTTTTTCTGGTAATATGAAGTGATTTTAACAGGAGTGTTCTCTAAACATCCAGCTGTAAAAGCGCTTTCCACCCGCATCGGACTGGATTGTTTGTGTGGTTACATTGTACTAGTAAATCGAAGTGTATCACGAAAGCTGATAACCAACTCGACGAAAAGTAACTATGAGAGCTCAGTGCAGAAGGAGTCTTCCATTGTTCTAAGGTATTTTACATTGAAGTGACTTTTACTTTTTTATTTGTTTCAACCCATTCGCAAGTGTAACCGCATCCACCGCAGGCATTAATTCTTGATCAATTGGGAGAATAACTGTCACCAAGTACGGGCAGGCACTTTACTGAC